GTAGGTATAGCATTAAGCACCAGGGCAGAAAACTCACTACTAGACTGGATCCCAGTTGATAGTCGCCTCTGCGCTATGAGGCTGAACGGCACAGTGAGAACTAAAAGGAATAGTGAGACTCGCCGTTGTCTCTTTGTAATCTCCGACTCCAGCTCGGATGAAGTGAAGGACGAGTTCTACCATAAACTGTCTAACCTCCTCTCGAAAGCCAAACGTTCGGACGTGGTGGTTGTTGCAGGTGACCTCAACGCACAGGTGGGTAGACTGAGTGAGGCAGAAAGGCACTTAGGTGGCACTTTCGGAATCCCAGCTGAACGTACAGATAACGGTGATCGCCTATTACAACTATGCTCAGATAACCGCCTATTTTTAGCCAGCACAAATTTCAGACATAAAGAAAGGCACTGTCTGACCTGGCGTCCACCGAGCTCGACTCAGCGATGGACACAGATAGACCACATTGCTATTAGTCATCGCTGGAGAGGATCGGTGGAAGACTGCCGCTCCTTCTGGAGTACGTGTTTGGACAGCGATCATGCGTTGGTCCGAGCACGTATATGCCTGCGTCTCAATGGACGTAGAAAAAATTTGGCAACAAAACCACTACGAGTTCTGCTGGACAACGAAAACACCAAAGCCGTGTTCAGTGAGAAGTTGGCTAGGCAGTTATCGGAACAAAAGACTGTCACTCATGAAGAAGCTTGGTGCCATCTTCAGTCTGCTGTAAAAGCAGCACTGGAGACTGTAGCCGACTCCAAGATAATGGCTAAAAAGAGCCAGTGGATATCAGCAGCTTCTTCCAAACTAATGGATGCACGTGAATGCATCCCTGCAGGCTCTGAGTACAATGAAGAGCGAGCGCAACTTAAAAATAGACTGACGAAAAGTCTGCGCAACGATCGTGAACAGTGGTGGGCAGCAAAGGCTAAAGAGATGGAAAAGGCAGCGGCGATCGGTAACAGTAGACAGTTATTTAGACTTATTAAGGAGACTGGGGGGAAATGGTCAACAACAGTTAGTGAGGTTATAGCGGAGAAGGACGGATCTGCGATTCACTCGCAGGGAAGGCGACTGGGACGATGGGCAGAACACTTTGAGGAACAGTTTAACTGGCCTCCAGCCACCATTGCGCTGCCCGCTATCCAGTCGGACCCTGAATGGGACATAGAGACAGGTCCCCCAACACTAGAAGAAGTTGAGAAAGCGGTAGGTAGCCTGAAACGAGGAAGGGCAGCAGGACCAGACGGACTACCTGCTGAGGTATACAAGAATGGTGGTAGAGTTCTCTTAGTCAGGCTAACGGAAGTGTTAGCCAGTATATGGGAATCAAATACGATCCCCTCCGACTGGTCTAAGTCACTGATCATCCCAGTCTTCAAGAAAGGCGAGAAGTCCTCTTGTGATAACCACAGAGGAATCAGCCTGACAAACATAGTGTCTAAGATCCTAAGTTCTATAATTCTCCGACGCCTGAGTGGAGCTCGGGAACAGCAAGCCCGAGAAAACCAGGCAGGCTTTAGACCTGGCCGTGGATGTATCGACCAAATATTCACACTGCGCCAGGTCCTGGAACATAGGCATGCTTACAGACGCCCGACAATAGCTGTATTTCTCGACCTGAAGGCGGCATTTGACTCCGTTGATCGAGAAGTCTTATGGCAATGTCTGTCACTGAAAGGCGTGCCTAGTAAGTACATCACCTTATTGAAAGCTCTCTACTCGAACACTTGTGGGCATGTTAGAGCCTATGGCGAGTTGTCCAGGGAGCTATACTCATCAAGTGGTGTCCGTCAAGGATGCCCACTATCCCCATTCTTATTTAATTTTATCATAGATATTCTTATGGAGGTTTCCCTCTCGTCACCTAATTACACAAACGTTGACCCAGTCACAGGTGAATTTTCTTTAGATCTAGAATATGCAGATGACATAGTCCTGTTAGGTGAAGACGCTGACAAGATGCAGAGTCTTCTGAACACTTTGAGTGGGAATTTGAGAATGTTTGGGATGCGATTTTCACCACCCAAATGCAAATTTTTGCTCCAGGACTGGTCTTCAGCGGTACCGCGGCTAACAATAGAGAGTGAAGTTGAAAGTAGGATCAACCCTGATGGTTCAGTGGCTGGTGAAACCTTTGCACGGATACATAGGGCTCGATTGGCTTTTGCCAATTTGCGCCACCTATAGTGCCGCCGTGATATCCGTTTGTCTATTAAGGGTCGCATGTACTGCACAGCAGTCCGCTCTGTTCTACTTTATGGCTGTGAAACATGGCCATTGAAAGTGGATAATATAAGAAGCTTCAAGTGTTCGACCACCGTTGCCTCCGTAGTATAGACCGTATTCCGTAGTGTCACCACGTAAGTAATGCAGAAGTCAGGTGTAGAGTTTTTAGGGAGAAGAGGTAAGTCAGTTGACGAGGTTATGAACCTTCATTGACTGAGATGGTCGGGATACGTACTACGTATGCTCAGTCATCGATTGCGTCGTCACACAATGTTGGCCGAAGTAGGTGCAGGCTGGAAGAAGGCCGGAGGTGGCCAGACTAAAACATGGCACCAGTGTACGAAGTCTCTGACTGTTGGTTTAAGCCATATAGGGTGATGCAGACTAGGTGGTTGGGGTCCGCGAGACAAGAGAAACCAGTGGTAGGAGGCTCTAGGTGATATGATGAGAACCGATGTCAGTTGCGCAGATACGTACACACATTATCCTGATCTTAACGACACTATACCGAATCTCACCATTTTGTCACTCCTCTTTTCTCTTTTCTCGTACTTTATATTTCTTTTGACTACATTCTCTTATCTTCATCCTTTACCTCACTACGTTTCTTCTTGATGAACTGACGTGAGGTGTGGCAACTTTGACCGTTGGGCAGTAATGCCTGGTCCTATGTTGATATTGATTGATTGAGTTGCTGGTGGTATTTGTGGACAAGTTGTAGATGGTGGTGTTAGTGGTGGTCGTTTCAGAAGCTTTTTGAAGTGGTCACCCCATTGTCTCCCTTGTTTCTCCCCTTCGGCGTTAACTAGCTTTCCTTCACTATCTTTCATTCATTTCATCTGCGTTGTTCTCTTCCCCCCCCCAGATAGTAACCTGGTTATTTGATATAGTGTTGTCAGGTCTCTGTCTCTCCTACTCGCAGCCTGTTCTGCTTCATGTGCAAGTGTGTCGTAGAAGTGTTGTTTGTCTTTTCAAGCAGTCTTCTTCACTTCTTTATCCAGTGTTTTATAAGTTGTATTCAGTTCTTCTTTTTGTTGTTCATCCTTGCACTAGTTCATCTTCTGCTTCACCATCTTCCTCTCCCTGCTCTATCAGCTTCCGTGTGTCTGTCGAGATTCATTCCTCGTCTTGTTTCTTCTCCCTTTTCAACACGGTTATGCAGGTTTCCTTCCACGTTCCTTTGACAGAGTTCCAGTGTTCTTTCACTCAGGTTCCCTTGGGGATGTTGCCTAATGTCTCCTATTCTTTCCTCATGGCTGACGTAAACATGTCCTTCTCAGTTTCGTCCTTCGGTTTCTGTTTTGGGTGTTGAACTTGAACTGCTGCCTCACACCAGTTCCTTTGGACATTTTCAACTTGATTTTGAAGGCAGGTTCCTTGCACTATATAGTGAGCGGTGGAACCTTTATCTGCTCCCTTTCTTCATCTTGTGTCCAGTAGTCTGCATCTCCACTTTCTTCATTTTGAGATGAAGTCGATCTGGTTTTCGGTGTAGTATGTTCATCTGGTGATATCCATGTCGCTGGCCTTGTGAGTATCCTTGTGTTTGTATGCACTGCCTCGCCTTCAATCATCAAATCGTTGAATGCACAAACAGTTCTTCGTTCTCTTTCTTTTCACCGATTGCTTCTCGATCCATGATGAGTTTTCTTACTTTGTTGTCCGCTCCCTGTTTGACATTCATGTCACCCCACCCATTAGAATTTTGATGCCGCCATCTGGAGTGAGGTCTTGTCACTTATCAATTGCAGTTGTCTGTAGAATTTCCCCTTCTTCTCTTGATATGCATTATTTTTGAATGTGTAGCATAGCATTGGCATTGTATGATTGTAACTTTCCTTTGTTTTTGAGTTGAATCCATCTTGCTGTCATGATCCTGATCCTGCAGGAGGAGATTGGTTCTCATTGCATGGGAGAGAGCCTTCGATGCTCTTGGAGATATCATGATAGCCACTGAAAAACTCTGTGTGCCCGTGGTTGCCGTGTGGGTGACGATGTTGGAGTAGATTATTGACTGTCCTCTCTAGTTGACAGTTTGGAGAGACCACTTCCATTCCACCTGCTTTCGCATATTCCTGGCACTTATACGCTATGCCTTCTCATCCCTTTTGCAATCTGAGCAGCCTTGATAGCCAGCTTCTAACATTGTTCAAACATTCCATGTCCCCATTATTACTTTTACTCTCATCGAGAGAAGAGAAGAGAAGACATACCGTGCATTTGGCTTCCAGAAGGCTTTCACCAATAGGCGTAATTTCGTCTCTCCAATTTTTAAGTTTGTTTTTACTTCTTATATTTTTTCTGTGCTTTGAAGTTTCTGTAGCGCTAGGATTGGTTTTAGAGTGTAGGGTCGCTAGCCGTATGCCCAACCTTCCCTCTTTATCCGGGCTTAGGACCGGCTAGTAATTAGTGAACTAGTTAACTAGGCGAGGTTGTTGAAGACCAGTACAGCTCACAAATTATTATTGTTGAACGACAGTTATCGATCGTGAATGGCAGCAACAAATAACTTATATAAGATTCATAAAACTTGTTTTTCCTTATCGGATAATGCGATCACGCAACCACCTCCTACAGTCATTAACTTGCTATTAGATATCTACGGTACCAGATATGGTTCAGATACTTCTAGTTTTTGTACAAAATATAACAAACAAATATACTTTAAAGTTTCACTTATTTCTGAAATACTTTTTTAATATTAACTAGAGTAAAGAATTAGCTGAATTCAGAAGGAAATTTCTCAAGTTTAATTTCATCAACTTCAGACTTACTCTTGCTAGTTTATTACCTGTCGCATAACTAACACATTTGTTTCCTTGCCATTCTTTCTGCTCCTTTAAATCTTTCTTATTACCAATAATAGCGATTGGTATGTGTTTACCAGTGTTCTCCTGTTAGTGAATAAATATAAAGTGAAGAATATAGTGCTATTGATAACAGTTTGAAGTATAGTGCAAAAGGAATAATTGAATGTATACATCTGAGTATAAGGTAGGAATCTCATGAATGTTGATGTGAAACTGCATCATTGAAGTGAAACTAATTCCGATGATAACATTGTCCAAATATTGTCTCTGTTCCTTTATCAGTATTCACAGAGAAAATGTTGACTTTATTACAGTCATAATTTTAGTGACTTCGATACTTATTATAGCTGTGAAAACTATTCCATTAAAGTGTGAGTCAAATATGAAGGTATTCTGACCAACAATGGACTGGATGGTTGGAAATACTACGCCGGGATTATGCAAGTAAAAATATACCTTATACAATGTGAGTCAAATAGCCTCGACGAGAATCTTCAACACTGATAAACAGTGTAATAAAGTTTAGCTTAGTTTTAAAGGAATAACCGTATAGAAGTTCAACAAATCAAGTTTTTCACCATAAATATTTCAAAATGATATTTATCTTTATTGGATATTTTTGACAGAGTAAGTTAAGTAAATTATAAACGTCACTGAAATGTCTTTTCAAAATTATTTACAAATTATATACAGAGGACTATCAAGAAGATAACATAAGTGAAATATTTTACCATTCTATCGCTTATAAGTCGATGAGGCTAAGTTGACATTTTCCGCTACTTTGTATGACTCTTATAGTGTCAATGTCTGTTCTATTAAAAATTTGTTTAAAACGCAAAATATAGTTATAAAGAAAGTGTAACTACATTTTTATACATCTTAAAACTGAAAATAACATTTTTTTGTGGCATTTTCCCTATTTTCTACATCTTTCCTATCGTCTGTAAAGCCAGAGTCTGTCAATTTCCTATGAAAACAGTTTAGTGTTCTAGATTTCGTGGATATATATGTTGACTAGCTCCTTCTATGTTCTGCTTTCTTTTGTTTTCACCTACAGCCAATTCCTATTAGATTAACTTTGAAAATTTTTGCAAGAAACTCATTTCTTCTTTCCCAATGCATAAACAATCTATTCAACTGTAGGACTTCTCAAGCTTTGTGGTAATCACATCATTTGGCACTTCAAATACGGTATCAGAAACTAAATTTGTATATTTAACCAGGCACCACTGTACTGAATATATTTTATTGTACTCATTGAATTTTGGATTAAATTTCTATTTTTATGGACCTTTTGTTACCTTGGGTTTTGCGTTGGTGGTTACATATAATAGAGAACTAATTTTTGAGTACTTTTCCTAGCACGTTATGTGCTGAACACCCGTAAACGAAGAATCTCAATGATTGAATGTTTACTAAATTTTTTAAAACAGAATTGATGGTGCCTAAAACGGAGTAGAAAGTTAATTACTCAGTGGCACTTCTGTCGTTATTCTGATGGTTAGAACTCGGGCTTTATAATAAATCTGTAAAAGGTAGCAATCCATAATCTTTGCTTCTTATCGTGAGGAAGCCATACTGGTTCTATTCCCCCACTTTTCCTATGGAAGTTCTGGTGAGAAATGTTCCTTCTTAAATTCGGTTCAGCGATGTGACGTTTGCTAGTAACACAAGGTTATTGGCCAATTAAACCCTGTTATCTCCTTGCTGTTCAGGCATTTATGAGCACCTGATTTGTTGTATTTCATACTCCATTTGTCTGCCACTTTTATAGGATAATGTGGTCACAGTATCTCTAAATTGGCATATCCTTACGATAGTATTCACTTGCTTAGTAGTTTCTGTAGTTTTTCGAACGGTTTCCGGTGCAGTGACATGACTTATGAGTTATGCTATAGTGTGATTTCCTTAGAGCTCTTATGCTTCTCATTTTTGCAGGATGGCTGGTCTTAATTAACTTATCTTTCATGCCTTTGATTTTTAATGGGTAGAAGTATTTGTCCACTGCCAGATAAATCATCATAAAATCACACTGACGTATTCATGGCAGAGTGAGAGTAGTATGAAAACAGAAGTAAAATTATGTTTGTGGATATTCAAACCAAGTATGGATTTGTTGGTTTGAAACAACTTGGGCACTTGGTAAAAAATATTTATTATTTTGGTATTTTTATTTCCCAATGAATGTAAACAGAATAAATTTGTTTCAACTGATGTTTCACTACTTAATGCTAACAGCTTTATCAAAGTTATAGTAAACCAGAATTTACAATATCCAAGTTTGCATATGATAACTTAACAAGTGTTCTTCTGCATGAATGATTCTGCGTTGTCAGAAGTGTAGAGCAAAGATGACATCCGTAAGTAGTGTGTTGAGTGTGAAGAGTGTAAGAGTTGCAGATTGAGATTTGTTAGTATGCGAGTGTTGATAGTTCTCATTGCATGTATATTGGTAATGTCAGTATGTGTTAAATAGATCGAGATCAGTCAGACCAAACCACGTCTTATCCTCTCATTTCTACTTAGCCAATTTTGATTCCACTTTATGTGAAGAGACGCTGCTATGAGACGTTCTTTCGTAATAATTTCGATATTATCATTTTGACTGTCTGAGATAGTTGCAGTTCGGCAGCTCAGTATTGATACTAGATGATGATTGGTGGTGAAAAGAAAATTTAGATCGCTGTCGGATCCGAACCAGCGGCCACCGGGTTTCTGGAACCGTGCTCCACCAACTCAGCTACGCCATCATCAAAATCAACCTTGTAACCTGAGATTACAGCATCTAGAGTTATGACTGAAGTGTTCTGAAGGTTTTTCAGATCTACTGGGTTTCCAGGAGGTCGGCGTTCATTTTTTTGTCCTATGTATACTGCCGCGTAGTTTGAGCATTTTATTTTATAAATAGGAATTAGGGAACATGACATGGTTTGGTCTGACTGATCTCGATCTATTTAACACATACTGACATTACCAATATACATGCATTGAGAACTATCAACACTCGCATACTAACAAATCTCAATCTGCAACTCTTACACTCTTCACACTCAACACACTACTTACGGATGTCATCTTTGCTCTACACTTCTGACAACGCAGAATCATTCATGCAGAAGAACACTTGTTAAGTTATCATATGCAAACTTGGATATTGTAAATTCTGGTTTACTATAACTTTGATAAAGCTGTTAGCATTAAGTAGTGAAACATCAGTTGAAACAAATTTATTCTGTTTACATTCATTGGGAAATAAAAATACCGTAGTCATAAAATTAGATCTGTTATTTTGGATTACAACCAGCTCACTTCTATTATTGTTATCCAATCTCTTGTATTCATGAAGGAAAATTCCGAAGTGCAGTCATACACCAAAAGAATGCCATCAGCTTTCCTATAGAAATTTGCGGATACACTACGAAATCTAGAAGAAAGTAGGGAAATCAGTAATAATAATAATTATCTTTGTTACAAAAGAATACGTAAAATATGAGTGAGTAGAATTACAAGGAAAACACTTATTTCTTCACAGGATACTCACTGGAAATCTATTACTCTTTCTTGGATACTCATATTAACCAAATTCTTTTGAACTATTAGCGCTTTTTTTGATTACAAATTATTTCAATCAACATTATTAATTATAATTTAAGATAAAATAAGTGTTTCCATCAATTTTCCTCTATCTACTGTTAAACTGTTCTACTGAAGTTTGAGAACCCCTTTACTGTTGATTTTGTTTCCTAAATTCATACTTATGTATAACCAACATATCTGGATAGTGATGGCATAAAGGATACTTATTTAAGTCAAATATTTTGTTTCCAGTTAAGTTAAGAAAACGTCTTTCATTCATCATATTAACAACACTTGTGAATCTAAAAATGCTGACAATTTGTAGATGTTAGTGGCTTCCAGTTAATGAGTTAAAACCAAGTCACACTTTAAAATACTAACACTCCGGGCCGACAGTTGCTTCACCTTCGCAAGGTGAATTTGATTTCAATCTCCTATGACTCCTATATCAATGACTACAAGAATTAGGAAGCTAGAATCTTTTATCATTTAGTTGCACTGACTTTATCATGTGCGGACCGAATTGCAACGCTTCGTATCATCATAGAACAGAGTATAGAATGGCAGTCAACTCTCTACCTCAACTTTATCGACTTTGAGAAGGCCTTTGACAGCGTCGACCGAGAGGTAATTTGGAAACTGCTTCAATACTACGGAATACCACAAAATTTTATCAGCCTCATTCAACAACCATATGAAGAAGCATGCCAAATGCCGAGTAATTCACAGTGGGAAGCTCAGTGATGCCTTTGAGGTGAAGTGAAGACAGGAGTGAAACAAGGCTGTCTACTATCCCCCATGATATTCCTGATTGTGGTCGACTGGATTATGCAGCAAACAGTGGGGAGCGAGAAGAGGGGGGTACGCTGGATTGCAGAAAAGAACCTAGAAGCTTTGGATTTCTCCGATGAATTGTGTCTGATGTCACACAAACTTAAGGATCTACAGACGAAGACTAACAAGTTGACAGAAGAGGCGAGGCAGCGAAGACGGGACTTCAAGTGAATATAGAGAAGACAGAGGTGATGAAGATACCGCACCAACAACTCCAACAACAACAACAAGCTCCAGTCACCATCAACGAGAGAAACTTGAAGGAATTAACCTCCTTCACCTATCTAGGAAGCACTGTTACAACTACAGGTGGCACAGATGAGGATGTCAAAGTCAGAATCGGAAAAGCAAGACAGGCGTTCATTAGCCTGAAACCAGTGTGGAGATCTTCTGCACTGCACTGAGCATGTGGAACAAGATCCGGATTTTCAATATCAATTCAGTCAAGTCAGTGTTTCTGTAGGCTTCAGAGACTTGACGCGTAACGAAAAGCATTCCCAACAAACTACAGACATTCACCAGCAACTGCGTATGTTCGCTACTGAAGATCAGATGGCCAGAAGGAATAAGCAACAAGGAGCTCTGGCTGGTAACAAACCAACCAAAATTCTATCAGTCAGCAAACATGCAGAAGGAAGTGGAGATGGAGGGGATTGGGCATGCACTGAGAAGGCCGACTGAGGGCATCACGCACCAGGCCCTCGAGTGGAACCCCGATGGGAAGCGGCGAGCTGGGCGTCCCAGCTGAGGGTGACATGGAGGAGATCGTGCGAGGAGGAAATGAGAGGTTGTGGGTAGTGGTGGAGCCAGGTTGAAAATAATGTGGAGAAGAGAGTGGAATGGAGGCGTGCTACTGAAGCGGTATGTTCCACTAGGAACCGTAGGGACTAATAATAAATAATAACAATGCTCTGACTTTAGAAAGCTGAGCTGTACCCTGACTGCTTGGGGAACCGTTTTTACTTGGTTGACAAGTGCCGTTGATCTTGTACATATGGATCTCATTGACCCAGGTTTTTCCAAATTTATCTCGACAGTCAAATAGATTTTATTCGGCAAGGTATATGGAAGCTTATGGTTATTAGTATGGTACAGTACTCATCAAAAGCTTAAATTCGAAGTTTCACATTTCGCTTCACTAACAACTCTTCTGCTGACAGTCTAGAAGACATTTAAACGACAAATAGTTTGTTGCAATGTTCGTTCATAGAAACTATCTGCATTTATAAGCTTCTGGGTGAATTCCACTATTATGAGTCTATTTTGATTGGTTTTACAAAATTACCCATTTAAATATTCACAGGAATCATTAGATGGTATTCTTGAGTTTTCGAAAGATACTAATTAACTCTAAATGTTCTAAGAAATTAATAAGTATTTTTTGAAGGAATGATAGGTCATATTTATGAATCGTAACATTTACTAGATTTTTAATTGTTATAGAACTCGTTAATTAAAAAGACTGATCAAACAAAGACTTGGTGTAAACTATGTAACAGTTTATTGAAAAACCTGACACAAGCGGGAGTGCTTAGAGCACACAGATCAATTAAAGTTCTCCAGAAAGTTGTTTAATGTGAATAATTATAAGGAGGCATGAACTACTAAGACAGATTTCTTTCTGTGTTCGTTTTAGTTTTTTCCATTTTTTAATTGTGTCTGGTAACATAAAAACAAATCGGTGAGACTATGAATTTGTACATCTCTACATTTAATTTACTGATTAATCCAGTTGTGATAAGTGTTGATGGAAGCAGTTAATTTTCCCGAAAACTTACTGTAGTAAAACAGAAAGAGTCGTTAGAGAGGTAAGGTAGGCTTAACTTGGAGGCTTGATCTTATATTTGGCAGCTGACTTGTACATCTGCTTTATTTAGTGAAAAATAAAAGTAACTTCAATAAGGTTTACTTTATTTTGACTCTAGTGATCTTCGATTTGGAATAGAATTACATAGTGTCTACTTTTTCAGGTAAAACTAATAAGTAGGAATATTACAATAGGATACAAGATTCCAACTAAGTAAATGAACGACGAAGCGCTTGTCGTGAGATCTGACGACTCTGGGAGTGTCAAGACAGAAAAAACTGACTCTCAAGTGCTCTCAAATTTTTAGTAGTTCTCCAACTCATGTCGACTCGTGATGAAAGCAAATGTCAACTCAGCCAATTCTCCACAAATCAATAACTGGATATATAAATAACTTGGTTGTTGTGAAAATATATCCAATATTTCATTTAATAATTGAATATGGTTTTAATGTACTTTGCTTTTATACCTACCTTTCTTGTCCAGCGGTGTCCCATATCTGCATCATGGCTTTTCTTCCATCGACTTCAACAGACCTCATTTTCATATCGATACCTTAGTGAATTGAGATTTTAAAACAAATATCCTCAACGGGATTTTAATTGTTTCTGTAGGAGAATTTAGAAACTCGCATATATAATTTACAAACGTTTGAGAACAAGATATAACATATTCTCACCTCTGTTTGCAGAAAATTTTCCTCAGTCTCTTTTCGCTACCTTAGCCTAAGATTTATACAATTTTCAGCTTGCATGAAAACTTTCTGCGTGATTTCATCTCAGTTTCTTCCCTAGGTTACCACTTAGATGTCCGAAACTTTCTTATAAATCTTCTGTCCTTAACAGCGAAGTTTGAGAAGCATCTCTAGCCTCGCTACATTAATAAGAGTTCTTAACTTCTTTCTATTATTGAAGAACAGTTTATTTATATAAACAGCGTAATGAGAAGACGAAGGTTATCTGAAACATGTGATGTATTAGCGCTATGCATTTCGAACAATCTGATCACATAGACTTGTCGAAGTATTTATATTAATTGCTCAAAGTACAATACTTCTCATCTTGGTTATTGTTCAGAAGTAATTTTTTAGTAGGAGATAATAAAATTATTAGTACTTTTCATGATGCCTCAAATCGTTCATGAATATTTGATGAATTATGGTAAAAATTTGGTCTTGGGACATGATATAGCTAGTAGTAGGTGATAAGAATAGTGAACATGGCTTGGAATCAGTTAGTGCAGATGATTTTATAATTTTATCGTTAGATATTCTCCCTTATGGGATAGGAAACTACTTGCATATCTTTTAGACAACATCAGAGTAGTGTACACCTTTAGCTTTTACGTTAGGGGTCAAGGACACCTCTTTTCGGTCGACTCTATGTCTATAAACTGTTTCAAACGTCTATTTTTAAGTTAATCTAGTCTTAATCAAGCAATCTGATAGTAAATTCAGGTTTTTCAACACCAATGTTTGGGTTATATAAAATGATTATTGTTTCTTATAGTTTGGTGAGTTAAATACACAGTTTAGGGGGTCATGACTGCTAGCATGCACAGGATCATCTACAGAAGAAGGTAACATTTTGAAATATTTTCATGGTTAAAACATTTACTTTGGTCTCATGGAATGATAGACGAATTTTTATCTGTACAGACTTCATGTCCTAATAACTAATCTTTATTTATCAGATATGTTCGTCAATCTGTGTCACAGCAGTGTGGTACATTATGTTTATAACTAGATAAGTTTGTATTCACGACTATGAATAAATCCAAATAAGTTTTCAAAACCTATGAATAAGTTGTTGATGGCCATCGAAAATCTGGGAGTACCAGATATCTATTTCATTCTAATCTAAGAGCACATATGAATTAACTCCTACAGCCTTATTAAGAATCAGGGCTGGAGCAGTCAGGTCTCATTGTGAGCATACTAACATTCAACCAGTGAATGGGAATTAAGTGGTTTATATTTGCCTACTTATGACAGTTTCGTCGTTAGCACGACCGTAAGTCAATATTATTGGTCAGTATTTTTCTTCACATTTGACTTATTTGCCCTACTGGTCACATTAGGATTTCAAGAAATATCTTCATACAGTTGTGTTTGCACACTGATGAAAATACCTAAAATGAAGCAAAAGAGTTGTTTAGTGCTAGCAAGTCCTCAGCGGTTCTCTTACTGAGACCAATCAATGAAATCATTCAGTCGCCTCAAACCACCAGTTAGACTATGAATGTGATTAACGGGTCTCGGTCTCTTTGCTACTTTTGCATAGAATTTCGTTCTTAATGGTCACTTAAATAACTACTTTACGACTGTATCATTCCTTTCGCGTAACCTGATAGGTTAAGTCTATATTAATATTTTTAATGACTTAAGATTATCTTGGGTGTTAGGTTTCTATGAAAATATTTTCCTTTTACTGTTTATCAGATCTCTACAGGCTTGACTATAGGGAAACAGATGTCATATTTTTTAACTACTAGTCTGAGTCGCTGCATCCAGTCATGAAGAAATGATATAATGATAAGTAAGAAGTGGTGTTGCGAGGGACTTTATCTTTTAAACATCATTTCACCTTTCGCCTAGTCAAGTAAAGAGACCACTAACCACTTACATTTGAAAGTTTTTTAGCATAATCCTGTAAAGATGAAACTAGACAGTTTGACAGCTCTCTCTCTCATCCTTTTACTATTCGATCGTCTAACTTAATGCTGAGTTTACTTATTTCATGAGGAGAAAAGATTCATTAACCAAATACATCTCTTTTATTGATATCAAACTTGAGAATATGTGACTTACCTATCGTCGTAACTGAACTGCTTGTAAATATATTATCACACATACGTATCAGTAAACTAGTTTTTCCAACTTCCGAGTCACCAGCCAACATCACACGAAAAATTCTTAATTTTTCATTCATTTGATCTTTTAGATGATAGCCATCTTTGTTAGATAAAGTCTTTTTATATTGCTTTTTCATTGTCCCACTTTTATAATGAGAATTTTGATGATTAGATGTATGCGAAACTAATGATCGGCGACTGGAATTGTTCGAGCTAACGGGGGTTGTTGGACTCATCTTGTTCTGTAATTCGGACCGAGCACCATACTTTGCATGAATTTTGGATTCCTCCTTTTTTGTATTTCAGATAAACAGAAAGAGTATGAAATTCTTTGTGACGTAATTACTTGAAGTTGTTAGATTATCTGAAATAGGGCACTAAATCAAAGTTTTCGGTCAATACAACTTTGCAAGATACACAATAAGCTGAGAAATCAGCCTTGAAAACCATTAGGAGTCAGCATGAAGCCAATCACTTTTCTGCCTACAGTTATTACCAACCCGGTCGTACTTAATATACTCGATATGCACACGCGCAAAACTAAGTGGAGGCTAACCAGAAAGAGTTTTTGAAAGTTGATATTATGAACACTTGAGTATATATAACTTTTAGAGCGTCATTTGTCTAAGCTGTTGTCAATTTTTATGTAAGCATACAATGGTTTTATAGAAAAAGCATCCTTTTAACAACAAAGCCTTTATCACACATGTTTTGGCCGAATATCTATTGAGTCGTTTCATTTCCCCCAGTGATTTTCTCAAAGCTTAATGCATATTGGCTTTCGACAGAATTAAATTTGTTTTCAAACTTAATTTGACAGAAAGTTTTGTTTTCGGTTATCAACTATTTTTTCAATGGCGCTTCTGATTTTGCTTTCTTATACGCGTGTTTTATCCTATTCTGTCAATCAGTGACTGTTTATGAAATACTGAGTTTTATGCTTTTTATTTAAGAAAATATTGTTTCAATTGATCCATTCAAGTGTAAGTTAGGGAAAAACATAAAACCAACTATATGTAGTAAGGATATAACTGAGTGCATAAACTATCCCCATAAGCAAAGCTTTATCATAGAATGGACACCAATTAATTGCTTTATAAGCGACTAGCACTAGTTGCTACTTACCAAAAATGGATGTCTGTAGTATAATGGTATGATAGTAAGGTAGAGGAATTGATACATATAGTGATAGCATAACTGATTCAACAAGAACATTTATGAACCTAATGCCACGAAAATACGAAGATTTCGGTGTCGTAAAACATTTAGTTGAATTCACTTGAGACAAAGCTGATGAGCAGTACTTTATATAAAATAATAGCTAGCCTCCTTCACCTATCTAGGCAGCACTGTTTCAACTACAGGCAGCACAGACGAGGATGTCAAAGACATGATCGGAAACACAGCAAGACAGGACTTCATTAACCTGAAACCAGTGTGGAGATCTACTGCACTCCACTCAGCATCAAGCGTGAACAAGATCCCGATTTTCAACATCAGTCAAGTCAGTGCTTCTGTGTGATGGTTGAGAGACTTGGCGCGTTACGAAAGGGATTTCCAACAAACTAAAGACATTCATCAACAACTGCCTACACTGGCTCGTTACTGAGGATTAGATAGCCAAAAAGAATAAGCAACAAGGAGCTCTGGCTGGTAACAAACCAACCAAAATTCTATCAGTCAGCAAATATGCAGAAGGAAGTGGAGATGGAGGGGATTGGGCATACACTGAGAAGGCCGACTGAGGGCATCACGCACCAGGCCCTCGAGTGGAACCCCGATGGGAAGCGGCGAGCTGGGCGTCCCAGCTGAGGGTGACATGGAGGAGATCGTGCGAGGAGGAAATGAGAGGTTGTGGGTAGTGGTGGAGCCAGGTTGAAAATAATGTGGAGAAGAGAGTGGAATGGAGGCGTGCTACTGAAGCGGTATGTTCCACTGGTAACCCAGGGGACAAACAATAATAATAATCATCATAATAATAATTCGTGTGATGAATTTTTGACTACTCATTTTATTTATTACTACATTTTGTTAGTTTGTGGTCTTTTTGCCAGAGATCAAACTTTGTAACCTTGATTAATTGGTTTGTAACTGAAAACTAGCTGACACCACATTTAGGCATTTTAAAACTAGTCAAATATTAGGAATTTCAGCATGAATATTGCAGTTTGTAAATAATTTATGAACTGATCCTCCCATTTTAAGTATACTAATCCATTTAGATTCAATCAGTCTTAAGAATTCTATTTTGTGAGTTGAATTCTTCTAGGTACATTGTTGATAATCTTAGTCTTACACCAGAGACATAGCTGTAGTGTGTTTAGATCACTGTGATCTCCCTAGTGAAGTCGACAGATCAGGATTGGTAGTTTCTGTCGACTCATATTGTTCAGTAGTTAATAATTAGGAGTGTGTATTGCAGTCCGCTTTAAATTATCTGTTAAATTTGATAGTGATGCAATCGAATAATTGAGTAAGTCTTTGTAGTTTTTTGTTCCGCGTCCTCTGCTTTCATTTCTTACTCATTTACCGACTTTGAAAAAATACAGGTAAAGTTAACTTTACCTCATTTACTGAACTGAACTACTGAAATATCTTCAAGTAAAATAAAAATGTAGAGTAAAATATTCTACGGGAAGCAAATTAGATGATGTCCTGACTGGAAGTTTATACAATGCCAACAAGTCAGTTTTAACTACAGAAACTTTCACAACAGTCTTTTTGGCAACGGTTTTTTTACCGCTTGACAGCGGATTTAACTTCATTGTTTCAGTGGAGATTAAGTTACTTAGTTTAATTAGCAAGAACTAACATCCTCGTGTTATGCATTCTTATTTAGGTTTAAACATTATTCAAACGTGTTGCTGCAGCAACAGGTTCTAGCCTAATACAACTAATCTCTATTGAAAGGGACTACACTTATCGCCTTACCACTTCCTTCGTTTAGTTCTAGGATTGAGGAAGTGCAAATGCTTTGGCAGTCATCCAAATGAAATTAGAAATTTATATTCAGGTAACTGAAGCAAGTGCTTCATTCAGTATACATGATAATCTGCATCCCATTCAAAGTTGCATTTCCTGAACTCAGAATTATCAATTTATTATTCCCAGTAGATATCCGTTATCCGACAGAAACCACAATAAGAGATCGTAATGGGCAGTTGAACTTCCTGGACAAGGATTAAAATGTTTGCAAGGAAAGAGTGGGACTGATACTGTTGAAATATTGTATATTCAACCTTCAACATCTCAATTTAAGTTACGAATTCACCAAAGGCGACTCTGATGTGTTTTATGCTCCAATTCCGAATTAGATATCTGGAACCTCACCTTTCAAATCTTCATCAGTAATCACAAAACTACCTAAACTTATGAAATTTGACAACATATATGAGCTCAGACAAAGACTCTTATAAAACGTGCTTAAAAACTTTAAGTAGCCTGTATTTTCTCACTTAGTATCAAAAAAGTAGTCGCATAATCATTACACAGTTCCCTCTGAACTGTTTTAAGAATATCATAGAGAGAAAATTTAAAGACGGATTATAAAATCACGCAGTTATGTATAACAATGAAGGAGAAATATTGAGCGCATTGATGTTTTTCATTGATGTCCAAAAGGCTGTTCAAAATCGACACAGTGATCATTAAATAACGTGACATCTCCCTCTTAACCGGGCTAGGCATTTACTGAAATATGCTTTGACACGAAAACATTTGACGCTGGAAAATGAGATCGAACAGTTGTATTTCTGAAAACAGTACGTTCAGGACCAAATTAACAGCAACTTGTTCTCTGCGATTTGTTAGGCTATTTCAAAACTTGCTTTGTAATTATAACTCAATCACCCACTTGAAAAATTATTTCTTTGACCCATTTTCCATTCATTCTATTCATATTTGATTCGATTATAAGAGTAACAAAAGTTCATTAGAAAAAACCCTCGAAAAAATTTCGGTAGTTTTTCATAATAATAAACTTTGGAATTATTTAATGTTTTTAATTGCATTAAACGCAGAGGAATTTACTTGGACCTATGGTAATAATCAATAAATCTTTGCAAGACAGCATTATTGTCGAAAAACTCTGGTGAGTATAAATGTACACTAATTTAAATATTTGAACAATACTGCAGTCGTTGAAAATACTTAAGAGAATGATAACCAGTATAATTGAGATTGTAACAGGCTAAATTGACTTTTTGGTTTCAACACTATTGTTTTCAACTTTATATCAGTAGAATGTTTGATTATGGTAAGTATCACGTTGGTTTTCATACTCAGATGGCCAGAATAATAGGAATAAGCAACAAGGAACTCATTAAGGGTGGGAACGAACCAACGAAGTAAGAACCCATCGCCCAATATATATGCAGAAGGAAGTGGAGATGGAGGGGATTGGGCATACACTGAGAAGGCCGACTGAGGGCATCACGCACCAGGCCCTCGAGTGGAACCCCGATGGAAGCGGCGAGCTGGGCGTCCCAGCTGAGGGTGACATGGAGGAGATCGTGCGAGGAGGAAATGAGAGGTTGTGGGTAGTGGTGGAGCTAGGTTGAAAACATTGTAGAGAAGAGAGTGGAATGGAGGCGTGCTACTGAAGCGGTATGTTCTACTAGGAACCCAAGGGACAAACAACATAGCAATAATAATTTTATTCATACTTAGTCAATACGGTTGGTTAAGTTAAACAAAAATTAAGGTAAATTAAAGGGCATATATATAACTCTCTTTTGAATTTCAAAAACGGTACTTAGAAATATATCCATCCACAATTAATCTTACAGATTTATTCAATGTACTTTTTGAATTCGGTTCCAATTAGTAAAGTCCAACTTTTGGTGGTTTTCAGCAACAATAAAACCACAGTATAACATAAACCACTCCGTAATATTTTGAACAACTCATCTGTCGGTTTACATCAACTTAATCTCAAATAATTGTCTTTAGTTAAGTCAATAATTGAAAGAGAAAAGTGGTCAAAGGTTTAAGGACTTAGAATTTGTGAAAAATTCATAGATAGTTTGCAACTTGGTGTGGAATTTAATTATTAATTGTAAAAAGCGGTAGGTTTTTCTTTAGAAAACAGCCAGCATTATCTCAAGATGTTCCCATGGTTTCCTTGCATACTAGGGTAGTGCTCCATAGTCGAATTTGATGACTATCTTGTGTGTCAGCACTTAACGTTGTTTATGCTGATCTGACCTATTTTTAAGGAGCACATTATTAGCTTCTACATATCAATAAACAAGAGATTAAGAAGGCCATCTGTAAACTGTATGTTTTCAGC